GAACCGCAAGTATGAGACAGAGATAAATAAAACATGGAAGAAGATGAATTTTCAAGTAGGGCATGTAGTGTGGATCGGGTTGAAGAAAGAATGGTTTTCAGTGGGATTCTTTGGGAAGATCAAGCTTAGGACAGATGGATCTTTGAGAATTCTCAAAAGGTTGAATGATAACGCCTACAAGATCAACCTAACGGGGAGCTACAACATTTCTACTACTTTAAATGTAACAGATTTGACTCAATACTACGACAAACCAAAAGTTTTGGCTGTGTCAGATAATATCGAAAGCTCCCATACCTCAGGAGTGACATGGGTGAATCTCCTTCACGAGGCGCGGAAGTGGCAACCTCCAACCGTTGAACCGGGCATTACATTTTCTGCACGGGAAATTGTCGCCCAAACGAGGGGGCCCCACCCTTAGCTACTGTAGTAGTTTTTATATGTTATTTTCTATATTGTAGTCAGTTTTTGTTTCTTATGTTCTGTCATCAGTATCTCTCTCTTGATCCCATATTATGGATGAATGTGGACAAATAACTTAGTTCATGTAACTAATATTAGGATAAAATTCTGGATTATAGGTACTCTCATAGGTAAATTAATGGAATTAGTAAATATGATGGCTCATAGAAAGATAAATATCTTATACATTCAAGAAACTAAATGAGTTGGAGAATGACTAAGAACATTGATAGCTTTGATTTTAAATTATAGTATTTCAATAGGAGTTGTACTTGAAGTTTTGTAGTTGTAATTATAAATATGAATTTGAAAGATAGTGTTGTTAACATCAATAGAATTGAAGATAGAATTATTGCTCTAAAGATTATTGTTGATATTATGATTTTTAATCTTATAAGTGCCGATGCTTCTAAAATTGGTTTTGATATGTGTTCAAAAAATTTTTTTGGAATGACCTAGAAGAATTAATACAAATGATACATGCTGATAAAAGAACTTCTATTGGATTAGATTTAACTAGACATGCTGGTAGAGTGATAGAAGCTTTGAGAAATATTGATGGAGGCTACGGTTTTGGAGTGATTAATGAAGAATGTAGATTCATATTGTATTTTGCTATATCTTATAATTTTTTTTTTTGTTAATATTTTTTTAAAGAAAAAATATGAGCATATTGTTTATTTATAAGAATGGATCAAATAAAATACAAATTAATTATTTTCCTATGAGAAAAAGAGATCACCAAGAATGTGAAGATTGTAAAGTCGTTCCAAATGATAATCTAAGTACTCAACATCGATTATTAGTTTTAGAATTTAAGATAAAGAATTGGAAGATAAAAAATGCAATGAAACATTATTATAGAATTAGATGGGGACACTTAAAAGATGCAAATAAAAGTTTTTATGAGCAAATTTCATGTTAAGATTTGGGATATTCATGAAGAAATTAGTTCTATGCGGGATAAATTTAGATGCACTATTGAACAAATGGTAAAAGATATACTTGGAAAATAAAAAAAAAATAATAAATAAAAATAGGTTGTTCTGAAATACTAATGTGTAGAAAAAAATAAAATATAAGAAATTTTGTTATAAAAATTAGTTTAAATCTAAAAGTTTAGAGAATTGAAAAAAAATATAAGATGCTTGTAGGGAGTATAGGTGAACTATTTGTGATGCTAAGAATTATGTTCTTAGAGATCTTTTTTATAGATTAGATACTAAAGAGCTTGAAATTTATGTAAAAACTAACCCAATGAAAAGAAAAGAGAAGTAAAGTTTAATTCAAGTAAAATGTACTAAAGATGAAAATAAAAAAGTATTTTTCTTAGATGAAGTTATTCAACATAGGAGTGAGATGTTTGATAAACTTTTCAATGATGTTTTTAAAAACTCGATCGAATTTAGATATCTTAATATCGTTAATAATAATATTTTTTTTTTGCCATCAGATTAGTTAAAAAAAAGTCGAGGAGGGGCTTTAAAGAAAATCAAGAGTGGAAAATTAGTATGTTTTGATGGTATCCCAATAGAAGTGTAGAAATATTTAAGAGACTTACAATTTCTTGGTTTACTAAATTTTTTAATATTATTTTAAAAACTTAAATGATGTCAGAGGATTGGAGCAAGAGTATTTTGGTTCCATTTTAACAGTAAAGAGGATACATTAGAGTATTCAAATTATAGAGGAATTATGTTAACGTGTCGTACATTAAAATTATGAGAGAGTAATTGAACATAGGTTAAAACGTGATACAAAAATTTTTCATAATCAAATTGGATTTATATCGGGCAAGTCTACTATGGAAGCTATAGATTTATTAAGGTTTGATGGAGAAATATAGAAAAAGTAAAGAGGATCTATATATGATTTTTATTGATTTAGAAAAAACTTACAATAAGATTCTAAGAGAAGTTCTTTGGAGAGTTTCAGAAAAGAAAGGTGTTGATATGACTTGTATTCAAGTCATTAAAGATATGTATACTAGAGCTATTACTTGGTTTCAAACAGAAAAAGAATCGATCAAGTATTTTCCCATTTCAATTGGAATACATCAGGGATTAACTTTAGGCCCATATCTTTTTGCTTTAGTTATGGATGCTCTTACTGGGCATTTACAAGCTGATGCACCTTCGTGCATGCTTTTTGCTGATGAAATCCTTTTTGTGGATAAGACTAGAAAAGGTCAGGAAAAACTTGAATTATGGAGGCTTTTACAGTCTAGAAGCCTTCATTTGAGTATATTTAAAATTGAATATATGGAATGTAATTTTAGTAGTAATAGATCTAGTGGTAGTGTAACAATGAGCGATCAAATCATTAAAAAGAGTGAACATTTTAGATATCTCAGGTCTATTGTTCAAAGTGATGGTGATATAGATGAGGATATTAGTAGTAGAAATCAAGTTGGATGGTTAAAGTGGCGAAATATATCGGGTCTATTGTGTGATAGAAAATTATCGCTTAGTCTTCAATGAAAATTTTATAAGCTGGTGGTGAGATTTGCAATGTGTTATGCCGCAGAATGTTGGCCTATAAAAGTATGTATTTGCACGTAAAAGTAAGTTCTCATAAGTATATTTGAACCATAAGGTTTCTTTATGTGCCTATAAAAGAGAAACATAAAAGTATCAAAAATGTATGTATTTATACATATAGAAACCTTATGGTTCAAATTTAAAATTTGGAAGCTATAACTCATTCCTCATCTGTCAATTACAAAACTTTTTTTCTCTTCCCACCATAAACCTCTCATAAACTTGCTTGCCAATCTCGTTTGATCTTCTCTTCCTCTTCCCATTTTCTTTTTCTATCTCTTCGTCGGTGTCTATCTCCTCCCCTCAATTTTCCTGTTGATTTTTTTCCTCACCTTACTTGTAGATTAAATGTGGAATTACTCTTTTTTCCTCACCTTACATTTCTTTCTGGTTGATTGATGTAGGTCCTTTAGATGAATTCCACATGGACATTTTTTTACTTATTTTACCATCGGATTTTCAGTCTTTCTCTTCCTTTTGATTGAGGCTTGTGAGCTGCTTATTATGCTCTAGGAAACTCAAGCTTCAACCCTGCTTATTGGATCATGTCAAACTTGAATAGGGGTGACCTGACATTAACTCAACTTTTTTACATTTTGGCATTGAAGCCATTTTGTCCTTGCTCAAAAAAATTGGACTTTTAATATCATGGGTATTTGCTGCTTGCATTTTTCTTCTTGGCATTTTTTTTTTCTGCTTAATTTCGATTTATCTTATGCCTGAACTTCAAAACTTCGAATTTTGAATATTTCATGTGTCTTTCTATTTGCTTTAAATGTGGCACACTTGAACCATAATACACCGGTAAAACAATACTCCTCAGACATGCTAACTATACACTTGGGATACATTATACATATTTTATACACATTGTGGCTGAATCATGATGGTCATGGAAGATTTAATGAGGGCGGTTCAGTTCTAGATTTAGGTAATTTAATTTATTGACCAAAGTTGGGAACCGTTGGATCTAAAATATTTCAAAGCCCGATACCATTGCATCCAACTGTAACATTCTTTTCTTTCAACACTATATCATTTTTTAAATTAGCTAAACATGTCCAAGTATTTGGCTGTGTCAGGTTAACAAGTTTTAAGATTATTGCCTAAACCCTACTTAAGTTAATAATTTGGCATTGGAGGTTTACTGTTGGGTCACCTTCTTTTTTATGTACATATGTGTTTATATGTATAAATTTTTTATCATATGCATTTATTTTGCAAAAGTCGGTCCCCAGACCCATGATTATGTGTATGTCTATTTCATTGGCTCAGGTGTGTCTCCATGGATGGAAGTTTTGTTCATGTGAATAAACATTTTAATTTTACTAGTGCATGTATATATAAGTGATGGCTGATGAAAAAATCACTGATGATTAAATTGTGTTTGATAGAAATGGGATTGTTTGGATGGATATGCGGCATATTGTAGGAGTGGCACCTAATGAAGATAATGCCATATTTTGAAAATATAATTAAGTGGACTAGGCATATATAAGAGAGGGTATAAGATGTGCTAATAACAAGGGTAGATATAAATAATGGTGTAGATCATGGAGGAAAATAAAAAGTTAAATGTAACATTGATTGAAGATTTACAAAAGATTTTATGCAAAAAAGATTTAACACCTCAATCAACACTCAACAAAAATGAAGAGAGAACGAGGACTCTTAAAATTAACTAATTGATGATGATGGTGGTGATCTATGTATGAGTGTGCCAATAGTTTCATAAATAAACGAATGGTTGTACATGAGTATTTATATGTTCATAGGTGCACAATGATCTCTCTTAACTATTTTTGAGTAAATGTTAAGCAATTTATGGTCCTTTAGCATTTCCAAACAGGACTTTTTTTGTAACACTGAACACGTTTATTCGGATTGACTAATGATTTAAACTAACTGTCATTAACCCTAGTCTGCCGTTTACGACAGGCTAGTTTTTTTAAAAAATGCTAACTGGTGCCTTTTATGCTTGAAATTGACATTTTGAAGCAGAAATTTTACGTGTGACCACACTGTTGGGGAATGCATCAGTTTTAGATCAAGGTGGTATTGAACATGGTAGCCCCATGACTACTGGAGGATTTTTTTCAAATGGAGCTGCAGCTGAGTTAAATGGATGGGCATCAACTTTTCAACCAGAAGTATGGATACTAACCAGTAACATAACTTCCATTTACATCTGACTTCTAATAGGAGTGTTTTTTGAAGTTATGAACTCTTAGTGCTAACTTCTTTAACTTACTTTTTGTAGTCATGTTTTTGACTTTTTAAAACTCAATCTAACTTTTAACTTTATGTGCATTTGCTAGCTTGATTTGTGCTGGCATATTAATTACTCACGTGGCTTTGATTTTTTTTTCATTTTTCTTATGATTGAAGTGAGAGATTTAACATAGAAATCTGGCGTATGCTTTGTTGCACTTATCTTGAAGTGTTAACATCAAAATGCCCTTCTGAATAATGCTTAAAGTGGGTTCTTCTTTGTACATGCCTTGAATGAGTTTTACATTTAACATTAGAGTACTCTCATTATCAGTTGTAGTTGTTGAACATGAAAATAAGTGATTTTTGCCATTTTCTTGAATATCAGTTCTTAGTTGTCTTTGCATTTGCTGGCATTTATTCTAACTTTCACTAACTTCATAACATACTTACTTTTTGGTTTCCATGCCTTGCTATTCTGCCTGGCCGACACATTAAAATCTAGTGGAAATATAGCAAATGAATTAATATGGTGCATGGGGAACAAAAGTGGGTTGAAATGATAGCATTCCCGGAGTTCCCATTTCTTGCTTATGATTTGACAACTTGTCCATCAATTTTAATCATTTTGGGCAATCTTTTTTTCTCTGGGAATCATTTTATTTATGCGGGTTTATCTTAAACATTTTGTATTTACAGTGCATGATTAAACTTGCTTTGCCTACTAGTTTCTTGAAACTCTCTTTCTCATAAATGTGCTTACTGTTTGATCCTTATATCATGCCTGCATGTGTGCATTTTTACTGCATTGTCCAAAATTTTACTTTCAATTGAATTTTTTTTACATACATACATACATGTATCTCTCTCTCTCTCTCTCTCTCTCTCTCTCTCTCTCTCTCTCTCTATATA